TGGATTTCCGGCTGGAGATGCTATAAAGCTGGGTAGTAAAAGCCAGACACTGGAAGCTACCAGGCCGAAGACCATCATTTCCACCAGGACCACCACCATCATCGGAACATGTATTGTGAGCACCATGTTCGAATCTGGAAAGACAGCGCAGGTGGCAGCGGAGATGAGGAATTATAACATCAGCATCCTCAATCCATCCAGACTCCGGCCAGAAAAGGCTCGCCACAGGAGAATTACTGCTGTTCTCAGGACACGAGGAAGAAAATGCGTCACACACCCAGGGAGTGGCCTTCATGCTTTCCAAGAGTGCACAGAGAGCGCTCATTGGATGGGAGGCACATGGACCAAGACTCATCACTGCTTCATTTAGAACTAAGAAGAGAAGACTAAACATGAATATTATCCAGTGTTATGCCCCAACAAATGACAGCGATGAAGATGATAAGGAAGACTTTTACAACAGATTGCAGACCATCACTGACAGTCACTCAGGAAGAGACATCACCATGGTAATGGGAGACTTTAATGCAAAGATCGGGCGAGACAACTATGAGGAGGTCATGGGACAAGAGGGCTTGGGGGAGATGAATGAAAATGGAGAGAGGTTTGCTGACCTTTTGAAGTAAGAAATCTAGTCATAGGAGGAAGCGTCTTCCCTCACAGACAAATACACAAGGCTACCTGGATATCAGCGGACCTCTCCACCGAGAACCAGATTGACCATGTATGCATTACCAAGAAATTCAGGAGGTCCCTCCAAGATGTGAGGCGCTGACGTTGCTTCGGACCACCATCTCCTTGTCGCCCGTGTAAAGCTGAAACTTAGGCAAGGCAAGTTTATTTATATAGCACATTTCATACACAATGATAATTCAGCATCATAAATAAACAGGGTGGAACTGACGCCGATGTGAAAGCAAGGATTGGCAAGGCCAGGACAGCTTTTCTCCAACTAAAGAATATCTGGAGCTCAAGAGACTTGTCCATCAAAACAAAGATCAGGGTGTTTAACACAAACGTGAAGTCAGTGCTGCTCTATAGCTCTGAAACACGGAGGACCACTGTAACCACCACCAAAAAGATACAGACATTTATCAACATATGTCTGCGGTGCATTCTCCAGATCAGATTACCATCAGCAACCAGGAACTCTGGCAGCGCACAAGCCAAAAACCAGCAGACGAAGAGATCATCCAACCTCGCTGGAGATGGTTAGGACACACTCTCCGTAAACCGGCTTCCAACATCACTAGGCAAGCCTTGACATGGATGTCATTCCAAACCTGTAAGACCTTCGTTCATCTTCGGAACACAAATTAAGAAATATTTTGATGAACTCCGAGAGCTCTCTGACGCTCCATAGACAGCAAGGATATTACCACGATCAACACACAGAAACGTAGCAAGGAGATCGTTAAAATAATCCGTGTGACGTCAGTGGTTCAACCGTAATTAGCCATCTTCAAGAATCGGCTAAAAACACATCTCTTCCATCTTTATTTGACCCTCTAACTCTAGCACTCTCTATTCTAATTCTATTCTTAGATTTTTTTTAACCCTTTTAGACTTGCACTCTATTCATTTACTTACTGCTTGTTTTCTTTAATAAAAATAAAAAAAACTAACACCAGCTTCTCTATTCTTTTTGTATTCTATCTATTTGTTTTCTTTTCTTTTATTTATTAGATAAAATGTATTTGTTTACATATGTGATACCCTCCAAAATGGCGCTACAGGGTGACGCGAGACAAATTGTTGAATAAAGTTGTTATTTTTGTTTTCTTTGCGCACAAAAAGTATTCTTGTAGCTTCGTAAAATTACGGTTGAACCACTGATGTCACACGGACTATTTTAACGATGTCCTTGCTATGTTTCTGTCCGTTGATCGTGTTAGGATCCTTGCTGTCTACGGAGATCAGAGAGCTCTCGGAGTTCATCAAAAATATCTTAATTTGTGTTCTGAAGATGAACGAAGGTCTTACAGGTTTGGAACGACATGAGGGTGAGTAATTAATGACAGAACTTTCATTTTTGAGTGAACTATCCCTTTAAGTTCATATTTCAGTATAGTAAAAGGTAGAGATCTCCTGAAGTTTCCATTAAGTCACGAAGCGTGTTCGTTTCTGGATGACTGGTCTCTTTAAGGTCTAATTGGCCTGTTTTGTCTGTGGTTCCTCTCAGTGCCTGATAAGCAGTTCTGTCGTTCCATGGAGAATCTCAACTGCAGCAGTGCCTTGATGGACAAACACAGAGTCTCAGCGCGAGGACGTTTCCCGACGTTACCCCTCTCCGGTTCCTCCACCTCACCCTCGGGTCACCTCTCGGTTCCGGGCGTCCCAATCGCCCGCAGCCAAAGCTCCAGCAACCTTCCCCAGAACCCATACCAGAACCAGGACCCAAGCCCCGGCAGCCCGACTAAATCCTGCAGCCAGTGGGACATGAGCGCGGCCGCTCGCAGACACACGCAGGGACGCATACAGGTGAATAAGCTTTCCATTGATGTATGGTTTGTTATGATAGGACAATATTTGGCTGAGATACAACTATTTGAAAATCTGGAATCTGAGGGTGCAAAAAAATCTAAATATTGAGAAAATCATCTTTAAAGTTGTTCAAATGAAGTTCTTAGCAATGCATATTACTAATCAAAAATTAAGTTTTGATATATTTATGGTAGGAAATTTACAAAATATCTTTATGGAACATGATCTTTACTTAATAACCTAATGATTTTTGGCATAAAAGAAAAATGTATAATTTTGACCCATACAATGTATTGTTGGCTATTGCTACAAATATACCCCAGCGACTTAAAGGCTTGTTCACACCGGGACGAATATTGCGCGCGATTATCGCCGACGTTTAATGCCTTGTGACTAAACAAAGGGCGCCAATGTGAGTGTGCACACCGACGTGCAAAACGCGAGGCGTAAAAGCGTCATTTTTAAAAAAATGCTTTGGGCTCGTTTTTTTGGTTTGACGCGCCGTGTTAAAAACTGACCGACCAATGAGATTGGCGCTTTTGTTCACGTGCCTGGAGCTGCTGAAGTTACAGTAAAACACGACTTGGTGAAGTTACAGTAAAACACGACTTGCGCTCAAGCACAAAACGGTCTTGCCGAGCACACATTGATACCTAACGACGAAGAGGAAGTAAGTAGACCAAGAAGATGCATCGAGGCAAGATGAATGTAGAGCTGCTGGTCTCATTGGTGTCTGAACACAAAGGGCTTTATGACAAACGCGACAGCGACTACAAAAATCTCGATAAACATCAAAAATCTCGATAAGAGGAATTGCAGATCAAATAGGATTCGATGTGTACCGGGGTATTTCTGTTTTTCATTAAGCGCCATCTAATGTCAGGGAGTGAATTTGCACGTTCACTCGACTCATCGCCTGCGAAAATCGCTTGGGTATGAACACAAAAGAAGCGTTGAAAAACGTCGGCGATTAGCGCGCGCGATAATCGTCCCGTGTGTACGAGGCTTTAGACTGGTTTTGTGCTCCAGGGTCACATACTGTATATCATAACTGACGCTTAGTGTTGGGAAGTTACATGTAACTAAATTACGTAATTTAATTACAAAATAAATGTAATTGTAATCAGTTAAAATGCGTAATTAAATGAGTTACTTATGAAAATGTTAACGATTACAAAGGGGGTTACATCTGAATTTTTTTCACACACACCCACATTTAATTGTCATTCACTATTGTCACTAAGAAATCGATTTTATTTAAATCATAAAATCATATTTTCAAAATGCATTTATTCAAATTGCTTAAAATCAGCATAAATTTGTTTATTATGAAAATTAAATTGGATTGAATAAAATGCATTCAATTCAAAATTATGAACTCAGTTTTGTATATACAGTATATAAACAGTTTAAACAATTTTCAATTAAAAATGTATTTTATTTAAATCATAAAATCATATTTTCAAAATGCATTTATTAAAATAACCCAGAATCAGCACAAATCTGTTTATTATGAAAACAATTCAGTTTATTTAGGTTAAAAAACTATGACTGGTTAAAATATTGCTATCTGTGGAACAAGCAATATTTAATTAGTTGAAAATGTATGAGATTGAAAAAAATATGGATTTATTAATGACAAATATATCAATAAAAATATATAAATAGAGTCAAACCAAAAAGTATTCAGACACCAGATATAATTTTTGATATTTTTTAATAGTGGGTGCAGGACACTATATTCATTTATGTAAGTGAGGATAGTGAAATAAAGTAAACTGTGATATGTTATACACAATAATTCTTCATACAGTGGACTAACCAGTAAAACTGATAACAATTTGGGACCAAAAATTATTCAGACACTTTGACCTGACCATGTTTTACAAAATAAATCCTATACTTAAATAATTTGGTGTAGAAACAATTTTCACTCAGACATGGCTAGTAAATTTTACAAATAATTACAAAGAAATTGCAAAATAACACTGAATTGAATATGAAATTTGAAGCAGAAAGACTGAAATAGTATTTTCTTGTAAAACGTACGGCAGTAATATTTGTGTTATTTGTTTTTGGCAATATACACACAAAACAAGCACACACACTCTCATATTTCACAGAAGTTCTTGAGTTTGAATTTTTAACCAGCTCTCGATATACAGTAGATCCTTAAATACAATCCCTGTTGAAAACCGTGGCCACTCTCATTACACAACACACACACTCACACGCACACGCACACACACACACACACACGCGCACACGCACGCACACTCACACTCACACTCACACACACACACACACACACACACACACACACGCTCACTCACTCACTCACTCACTCACTAATGTTTTTATTTTTATACTTTCTGTTTCCATTGTAATAAAACATTTAGTTTTAGAAACATTCTTGTGCGTTTTTATACTTTTTTTGTCTATATAATTTTTTGTTTTTTATTTCAGTTTTAGTTGATATATATATATATATATATATATATATTTTTTTTTTTTTT